CTTTTTTTTTTTTTTTTTTTTTTTTTTTTAAGGTGGGAGACTGACCTGGAGAGGAGGTTTTCCTCTCCTGTAGTGGAGAGAACTGGGGTCGGGTGGCGATAGCTGACAGGAACCCTCCTCACTCTTCCTCCAGGGGGAGCTCCTGAGCCCCTGCCGCTGCGACGGCTCTGTGCGCTGCACGCACCAGCCCTGCCTCATCCGCTGGATCAGCGAGCGGGGCTCCTGGAGCTGTGAGCTCTGCTACTTCAAGTACCAGGTCCTGGCGATCAGCACCAAGAATCCCTTGCAGGTGAGGTGCAAGGGGACAACTCTGAGACTGGGGCAAGGGACTTTCAGCAATTAGAATCAAGGACCCTCCAGGGAGCCTATTTATCCATTTACTCTTGCTTTCAAAGTCACCCTCCCTACCACTGCCATAATTTAGTGTCTGTAAATCCTCCCTTCCTTCATTTACTCACAAAGACATTTATTGGGCGCCACCTGTGTTCCAGGCCCTGGAATAACAAAAGAGGAAAAGATGGTAGTGCTGCTGCTAGTGCTGGTAGCAAACATGTAGAGTTTTCTATGGGTCAAGTTCTCGGTGTGTATTAACTCTTTTAATCTTCATAATAATCCTAATAGTTATGTTACTCAGCCAGTAAGTAATGGAGTAAGGATTTGGAATTCAAACCTAGATGGTCTGGCTTCAGACCACCTGCCTGATCATGCCTTTCTAAAATAAGACAGAAAATGGTCTCAGTGTGAGAGATGCCACATTCTAGATGTGATCAAGGCACAGAGAAGCAGATTGTTAATCCTGCCTGAAAGGTTTCAGGAAGGCTCCAGGTGCATCCTTCTATTCAGGGCCACCCTAATCTGGCCCTCTGTCTCTTTCTCTGACTTTTTGGAGCCTTTTCTCCCACACAGTGGCAGGCCATCTCCCTGACGGTCATTGAGAAGGTCCAGATTGCAGCCATAGTTCTGGGCTCACTCTTCCTTGTCGCCAGCATCTCCTGGCTCATCTGGTCCTCACTCAGCCCTTCAGCCAAGTGGCAACGGCAAGATCTGCTTTTTCAGATCTGCTACGGCATGTACGGCTTCATGGATGTCGTCTGCATAGGTGAGGATACCTCTCTCTCTCTCACCTGCTCAGCATCTTCCTCCAACTCACACACTTAATTTTCCCTGCCCATTCCCTCAGTTTCATGGCCACATTTTCTACCATTGGGGGGCCTTTAGGGCTGTCTCCCTTCTCTGCTTCTCCAGGCCCTTTGCAAACCCTGTCTCTTCCCCCTGGAGAAATGCTTGCTTAAGTACCTCTGGCCTAGGTGTGGGCAGCAGTTGACCCTGGATTTCTTATCCTCTTGCTCAGGCCTCATCGTCCATGAAGGCTCCTCTGTCTACCGTATCTTCAAGCGCTGGCAGGCAGTAAACCAGCAGTGGAAGGTCCTGAATTACGACAAGACCAAGGACATAGGAGGAGATGCAGGGGGAGGGACGGCAGGGAAGCCGGGCCCCAGGACCTCACGGACGGGCCCCCCCACTGGGGCCACCAGCCGCCCCCTGGCCGCCCAGCGCATGCGGACGCTCTTGCCTCAGCGCTGTGGTTACACAATCCTGCACCTACTTGGACAGCTGCGGCCACCAGATCCCCGTTCCAGTTCCCATTCCGGCCGCGAGGTTGTCATGAGGGTCACCACAGTCTGAACTAAACTCCAGGAGTGGGGATCTTGAAACAAGGCATCAGCCAGAGATAAGCTGTTATGGCTGCTGGAGGTACCACCTGGACAAGGTGTTTGGGGCACACTGCCCCACCACTGAGGATCTCTGTGGGCAGCCTCAAGCTGGAGACATTGTCTGGCCTCTACTGCCCACTGGGTAGAGGTGCCTGGATGACATTCCAGCCCCCACTGACAGCTCCCCACACTCATCTTGCGGCAGCCAGTGGGCAGGTGGGGAGAGCATCTTTTCTTCCCTAGAGAACCGTCCTTACCTCAGCTCCTAGGGCCTCCAGCCCCCCAGCTCCACTGGGGGTGACTTGGTGAAGGGGGTCCAATGCGAGAAGAAAGGGGCTGTAGACCCCCCCCCACAATCCCCACCCCATGGCCACAGGGCAGCTGGCAATAAGACTAGTATACATTGACCTCCCATTCCCTGCATGAGGGTGGGGGTACTTCCCCCTGCTCCACCCCCCATTGCATGGGGGGAGGGCATAAAGAATCATTTATATGCACGTGGAGACTCCTTTCTCATCTGGGGCTTTTCTGGAGGGTTGGGAGGTGTGGGCAGTTTTCTCTGCAGAGGCTGCAAATCCCAAATGCAGCAGTGGATTCTGAGTTGGAGGTGTAACTCCCACTTGGTGGTGAATAATTCACATTGGCTGCTAGGTGGCAGTGCTCAGAAGTATCTAAGGGGTGGACCTGACACCTGCATGTTGTGTGATTTAGAAAAAAATCTCTCCACCATGGTTTTCCTGTCTACCTCATAGGGTTGGACTGAGGATAAATGAGGGATAGGTTGAATGCCATTGCAAAGAAAATCAGTGATGGCATAAAAAGATCTCTAGACTAGTTGATGGTCCATTTATTTCAAATAATAGCTGGTTAACAAATTCCGAAATGTTTTTCATCTGGAGTTGCACAGAGCTTTGGAAATTTGTGTTAAATGTTATAATAGATATGAGGGGAAATAGACACTGCACATGTGAAGGATAGTGATTATTTGCAAGAATGAGAGCTCCTCCAGCCCCCCTAAACACTGGGGAATGGGAAAGGCTGGAGCAATCTTTCTAGTTCTGGGGATCTTGTGGGTTCTATTAATCCCTAGCAGGTAATGTGTTCACCCAGAGAAGTGATATGCAGTGAATTTGGGCTCGTTTGGAGTAAGACAGACAGAATTTCCTAGACTTATGAGTCTCCAACCCCAGTTTAAGCTACTGCTCTGGTAATTCAGGGTCACAGGTCTGATCCTGCTGTGCCCCAGCTAGTGATATTAACTGGAAGATCTTGTGCTTGGAGGCAGCAGCATAGAGGGCTGCTGTTTATAGAGTAAAGGTTTGGGAAGGACTGGTTAATTGTCAGCCTAAAGCCTGGTCCCTTTCTCTCGAGGCCTTGGGGCTGTGTATTATATGAATGATGTCTTTTACGTGAACTATCCATCAGCAATTAAAATAATTACTTCATAACATTGCTTAAGTCAGATCCAGAGGCCTTTCCTATTATTGGTCCTTCTCTCAGGGAAGATTCTGCTCTGCCTTCTCCCTGGAGATGTTTTGGGGACAGTGCTTCTCTATTAAAGGTCACATATCCTTGCCCAGGAAATGGTCTTCTCCATCCCTCTCCAAAAGGGGTCTTGGTCGCTGTCCACGGTGCTGGCACCCAGACTCGCCTGGGAATATAGGAACCAAAGCTGTACTTGGGTTTGAGTTACCTGGAAGTGTTGAAGTGCATCACCTCCAACCTTGGAGGGGATCAAAGTGGAGAGAGGACTGAGGCTGAGCCTCCCATTTTTCCAGTGGGAAATCGTTTCCCAGAGAGATAACCTTCCACATTCCCCACCTGGGGAGACAGAAGGGCCAGACTTCACTGATTTGCCTTTCACAGAATAGCTGGTGGAGACCAAAAGGGAGACAGTAAATCCAAGTGACTCTTAGTTCTTATACTGGCAGACAGGGCTTAGGTAGCTATGACACAGTTGAGGCTTGTGCCAAGCCTGGGCTGTCCCCTACAATGGCCGCACATGGAGGCTCAGACATGCCCAAGAGCATAGGCACGCTTACACACGAACACACCGCCTCTGCTTCCACCCTGCGTCCTAAAACGAGGCCCGGTGAGACAGTATGTTCCCCTCCCCTTCAGGACCGTTGGAGGTCTCGGTATGGAAGTTGGGAACAGCGATCTGTAGGGTCCTCTCTCCTTTCCTTTTTCCACCTTTAAGAGATTCTTGTCCAGGAGAGGGGTCATAAGAACTGCTGCCCTCCTCAAGTGAGCCATCCTATTTTCCCATGAGGAGTGTGGGTGTGCAAAATCTTCCCCAGTGATTCCAGGGGAGAGTCTGAGAGGAAGCTGGGCGTTACTTCCCCTCCAAGCTCAAAACTGCTAAAAATCGGGTCACTTAGGTTCAAGTTGAGCTCAGTGGTAGGGAATGGGGGTGGAGACTGAGAACCCAGTAGAGAAGGAGCTGAGAGGAGGGGCAATAAGAGCACACAAACCTTGGTCTCTGCACAGGGCCTTGGGTATACCCTGCCCCTCTGTAGGTCTAACATAAGTAGATACCTCCCAGAAGGCCAGTGGCTGACAGAGTTTCTGCAGTCAGGGAGCCATGTCTAGGGCAGGGGCTGAGGTGGTGAGAGGAGGGGGAAGTGTGAAGTGAAATCTCTGTCTCCATCTGCTAATTGGAATGGAGGGGAGCAGGAGGAAGGGGAACAAGTCCTGACACGGGGAGGGTAAGCTAGGCTACAGAAGAAGCTGCAGGGAATGTGCTGAGAGATGTATCTGGATGGAAGATGAGTTAATCTATATACATCACAAGGGGAGAACGGAGCCCAGCCTCTGGGGGGCCAGATAATGCTGACTCAGGGAAACAGAGGCTCCTGCTGCCCACCCCTCTTCTCCTGCCTTGGTGCCCTAGGGCTCCTGGCCACCTCCACACTTGGCTTTCATCCTGTCTGACTTCACTTCTCTGTCTGTATCCCTGTCTTTCTCTGAAGGAAATTGCCTTGGAGCAACTTCTCCAGAGAGGACAGAGCGTACATGCTAGGGTGTCCTTTGGTCCTGGCACTCCAGGTCCCAAAAGCACTCTTCTACCAGAGTGAGCCGTCTCTGGCCGTCTCAGCAAGTCCCTATCCACGCTTTTAACAGCCTAACCCTTGAAGCTACTTTTCACCACCATCCCCTTAATCTCTTACAGGGAGCCAGACTTGGCTGTTCCCACTACAGATAGAAATGTGTCTGGCACAACTGACCAAACATAAAGAATAATTTAATAATTAGTTCTCTTTATGCACCTGTGATAGTCCCCCAAATTTTTATAAAATCTTGTCCTCAATGATCTTCTCTATATTTTGGAGATAATTAAATGTAGAATGACAACTGAATAGTAAGTTCTGTGGTTAGTCTTTAAGATTAAGTTAAGAAAATAAAAAATTAAAGAAAATTGCTAAATTACCTAGACCACAGTTCTGTAATTTAAATCACTGCCTCAATCTGTGATGGCCGTAATTATTAAAAGTATCTTCATTAATTAAGAAAAGAAATGTGTCTGGGTTTGTGATGCAAACCATTCTCCCAGGTGTCTAGACCTCCCACTGTTATGGGGTCACTCCCAGGACCTAAGAAACCGAAGTGGAGGATCTGTATGATGGTCTGGCCTCCAGGTCTTATAGGAAATGAGAGTGGAAAATAAGTCAGTCAAAAGTCAAGGATGGGACATTCAATTTTTTTTTTAATTTAAAAACTTCAGTATATAAAAGGAAGGCTTGGGCAGGGACAGGTCCAAAGATATCTCTGCCTGTGACCTAAGTGGTGGGACAAGCCAAACCTAACAGTGACCAGAGAGCCAAGGAGAGTTTTTTAAAAATCATACACCAGGTGAGGTTAGAGTCACCTTCCTAGCGGCAAGATGAGGAAGGAGCAGGGTAGACAGCGCCTGGTAAGCTGCTTATCCCTTCTGCCATATTGCCCAAATACAATCTGAGAATCGATATGGTGTCAACCAGTCAGGGATAGGCCCTGGCAGGGTGTATAAAGGCAGAATAAGACCTCATCTTTCATCTCAGAGAGCTCACATGCAAGGAGAGAGATCAACCAGGTGCAGACCAGATGCACAATTACTTAGCTCATGCCATGATAAGTGCTTAGCCAGCAGCAAGAGTGAATACTGTGAAGCCCCAAAAGGCCAGTGGTCGAATTCTTCCTCAGGCCACCCAGCATTATTAGTTAAAATCAGAGTTGGCCCTTGAAGGATGCATATGATTTGACCAGAAGGGCTAAGCAGGCAAATGGACCATGGTTTTCTCAGGGCTTGCTGGGTCAGGCCAAGTGCATATTTCACACCTCGATCAAGGCTGCTTCAAGCACTTTGCTATGGTCTTTCTAACCAGTTTGGTCAGATAGGCCACAGGGGAATACACATATCTTGGTCTTGTGCCTGATAAACCCCTATGATGAGAGAAACGGTGATGATGACAGTGTGCTTCCACAGGACTATCTGTCCACAAACTGTAGGTTGATGCTTCTCTCAGGTACCAGGACAGTCCGGGTCATGGGTCTGACTGGGGCAGCACCTGGCTCAGGCTGCACCTCAAAGTGGATCAAGATCTGGAAAGGGAGGAGGAAGGCTATCACTATGGGAGGGGTCTACAATGGTGGGCTTGATTGGTAATGGGCATTATTAGTGTTAGGATGGTCAGTGTTGGAATGGCACCTGTGGCAGGTAAGGGGATGTCTTAGTTAATGACGGTAAGAGATTGTGGTAGGGAAAAAGATAGTCCAAATACCCTCACTCACCCTCCAGGCCTATGATGGGATTGACATATTTCAGAGGATTAGGTCTCCCAAGTCTTATATATTTTCCTATGTCTATCAGGAGAAGAGCTCATGGCTTTAGAGCTCCAGTCTGGGGAAGGTAGAAGACCTAGATCACTCACCTGGGCCAAAACCATTTGCAGCTCAAGCTCTGCCAGGCGTCTCCCCATGCAGCTGCGCTTGCCAAAGCCAAAGGGGAGAGATGCAAATGGGTGGGAGGCTGGACCATCCCCTAGCCAGCGAGCTGGACAAAAAGAATTTGGCTCTGGGAACTGGGCGGGATCCCTTGAAGTGGCATAGTGACACAGAGTGACCAGCGTCTGGTGAGGGAGGAACACAAACTTGTCAATTTGGGCCCAGGAACGCCAGGAGGGAAGTACAGGACAGGATCTATGGACTGGGACAAAGGCAGGCTCGGGTTGGTTGTGAGGTGGAAGTTTTCTGGGGCTACTTTTCTCTACTGCCCCATTATATCCTAGAGAGGCATTGGGGCCGAGGAGAGGGTTTGAAGGGCTTATTGGGAGTATCTGAGAACAGGAACAGTCCCAGGGTAGTGAGGGATGGCTTAGCAAAAGGGGCCCATAGGCTCTACTCACATTTTTGGGGATAATATATTCACCCACACAAACGTCTTTGTCTGGGACACGGGAATTTCCAGGTACCACAGGGTACAGTCTGGATTGCAGGGCACAAGAGGGAGACAACAAGATGAAGGTGGGGGCTGTGGCCTCCCTCTCATGCCCCCCCCTCAGCTTCCAAACCCATTCTTGGCCAGGCGTAAAGTACCATTTTCCTCTGATCTCTCTCCCTGCTCCCATCTACTAGCTGCTTCCCCAGCCCTTCCCCAGCATCTTCTCTAGCTCTCCTCTTCTGCCCCCTCACCTCAGCACTTCCTTGATCACAGCCTTCAGAAGGGGCAGCTGTGACAGAGCAGTGGCTGAGGGGTGGGCACTGGAGCTGGGGCCCAAGGCAGCTGTGATCTCAGAACGGAGTGCCGTCTGGACTTCGGGGTGCCGAGAGAGTTCATACAGAGCCCAAGAGAGCGTGTTGGACACCTGAGGGGACAGGTGAGAGTGTCAGAGGGGTTGAGAGTGGGGACCCAGCATAGGGGGCAGAATCTGAGGCAGTCTGGAACCCAGGAGGTGCTAAGCCAAGCTGGCCTGGAGGACCATAATGGATCCCCTGCAGCAGGAAAATGGCCCCTGAGATTGAGGAGGTTAAGCTGCAGAAGTGGGACTCCCAACATGGAGGGAGGACCTCACCGTGTCTACTCCAGCCAGCAGCAGCTCCGTCACATTCCCTAGGATGGACGGGGCAGGCAACTCTTCCTGGAACAGGAAGTAGGTCAGGTGCGCCCCAAATCCCGTGTCACCCTCAGACTTTCCCTGGCTCCTCATGGCTACCTCGGCCTCTCGCCGCTCCACGTGCTGCTGGGCTGCGGGCACAGGGGACAGGGACGCCTCGTTACCGCTGAACAGCTCTATGCTCCCCCACTCCTACTTCATTTCTGTGCTTTACCAAATGCAAACATCTGGTCCCAGTCTCGGCAGAGGCGGCTCCAGGGTCCCGGCACGAGGCGGTGCAGCCAACTGGGCATCGCCATGGTCAACAGTGTGGACACAAACACCGATCTCACCGCGCGGATGAAGGTCTCTATGTCTGGCGGCACTTGGGCCTCCAGGCAGCCGAGGCGGGAACCCAGCAGCACCGCAGCGATGCCTGGCCGGGAGGGGGCGCTGTCAGGGCACCGGGAGACCCGGACCAGGTGCCTCCTACACTTGCCCCTGTCTAAGAACTCACCTTCTAGTGCAAACTTGTAAAACTCTCCTGCCACGTCTCGAACCAGGGCGGGCGGCCCAGCGCCCAGTCCCCGCTGGCGGCGCAGTCGCCTCACAAGGTCACCGACCACGTCGTGCAGGGTCCCGGCATAGCGGGCGGCCGCCTGAGGCCGGAGGAGGAGCGGGGCCAGGAGGCTGCGGAGCCTCTGCCATTCTTCGCCTTCCCTGCGGGGGTGCGGAGAAGGGGCGCATCAGGGCAGACGGTGGTGTGTAGAGGCGGCCCGACGGGGCTGGTTGCGCTTGAGAAGGAGCGTGTTGGGCTGGGGTGGCCAGGAGGGGACTGCGTCTGTTCCCTTGGGGGTACAGAAACCTGCCCCTGCCTGCACCCGCTTTCCATCCCCCCTCCTCCCCCACTCCTCGTTACTCATTTCCTGCCCCGGAGGGGCCTGGGTTCCTGGGTAAGCTGAGTCACAGAATCTTACTTTACATCTAGATCCTGGTGCCTCAGCCCCTTCCGTGAGTTCCCAGGATTCTGGCTTCAAAAGAAAAAGAGCGGAAAGCGAGGCGAGAGCCGGGCTCTACCTGAGCTTGGGCGAAAGACTGGGGTGGAAACCTCGATTTGCCAGAAGGTTGGGGGAAACGACCGACCTCCCTCCACATCCCCAGACTGCCTCCAGACCGGCCACAAAAGAGGAACGCAGCTGGGCGTCGGGGCTTTGGGGCCAGAGGACTCACGCGGTGAGCAGTCCGCAAGCCCGCTGGCGGCGGCGACGGTGCTCCGCCCAGGGTGAGAAGCTGCAGCGTTCGGGCCGGGGTCCCTCCTGTCGTAGCAGCTGCTCGACGAGTGTAGGGGTCGCCACGTACACACTGCGCACCTTCCCGAAGCTGGCCAACCACACTGGCCCAAAGCGCGCGGCGCCCTGCACCTGGGAGTACAGGAGCAGCGGACACTGGAGACCCGGGCCGGCAACTGCCACCTCGGCTCGAGCCAACGCCAAGGGCGTTGTTTGGGGTTAGAAAGAGGGAGCTTCTGCTCCCAAGCAATGTAAGGCTCTGATGCTGCAAACCCCTCACTTCCCATCCCTAGGAAGTTTGAGTGTGATTGGCAAAACGGGGGGCTGGGGGGGGCGGGCGGGGAGGAGGGACTTGGTGCAAAGCTGACATTCTGGATCTCTCTTTGGTCACCTGGGCGGAGAAACCCCTAAAGTTTCCTCACGTGGGCTGTCCATCTCAGGACGAGCCTCCACTTAATGTACAGGAGCGCACTAACTTTAAGCCAAACGTGCCTCCCGCGCACTTGTCCTGGATCTACCGAGTCTCCAGAATTCTGCACAGCGAGAAGGCGCTTTCTGAACGCACTCCTCTGCTGGGTGTTGGGACAGACTCCGCCCCTGGCGAACCACCGACCCGTCCCAACTTGTCTTTTCCATAATTCATGGGCATCTGTTCTCACTGGCCCTCCCTCCTACGTTCTGCACTAGGGTGTTGTTAAAGCCAACCTCCCCAGCTTTCAGTCCCGAGAACGGTCCCTCTACCTGAAGCTCGTGTAGCCGTGACAGTCCCCCCTTGCAGAAAAGTTCAGCAAGGAAGCCCGGCGTGGAGGGGCCTGGGATGTCCGCCAAGCCCCGGGGCGCTGAGTCCGAGCCTCTGGAGCCCAGTGAGGCGCCCAGCTCAGGACAGTGGACGCGATGGAACACTCTGGAAGCGAGCTTGGGGGTCTGGGTCATGGTCTGGCTGGGGAACCCGGGAAAGCGTGCTTCTCCGGAGCGTCTTGCCCCAGCCGCTATTTAACTCTTGGGCGCGATAGTGGCGACGCCTCCTCTTCAAGCTCCTCAGCCAATCCCCTCTCCTGAGTGGTCTGTGCTGGGGATCAGCACCCAGGAACAGTAGGCGGGGCTGGAGCTGCCACAGAGGCTCCCTTGGACCTCATGTTGCAATGACCCTCTTGGGAGGGGAGGCTTCTCCGTCTGGGCTGGTGCGCTTGTCCAGCAGCCTAAAGATCTCTTCCTCAGAAAGGCTATTTGGTGAGGCTTAGGTGACCAAGGTACAGGCTGGATCCCTGGTATTCCCATCACTTCCTCAGGCCCACTGGGGCCCATCCTCAGGAATTCCCCATCCTCCAGCTCCTCCGGGAAGGGAAGCAGGGAAGAGGCACAGCTGTAGCTGTCCTCAGATTCCAGGCTCATCGGGATGCACCTTTTTGGTATGCGAGCACAATTTTCCTGCATTACTACATCTTCCCCTCCCCCTGTACCTGACACTGGGCAGATAGCAGGTGGGTTAATGGGTTAAGATGGTTGCAGGAGCCTCCATCTTTATTCCTTGGGAAGGGGGGTTGGTCTCTTCCGTCAACAAGCCCTGTCCTTCCAGCCATGGTAATTTGGGTCTTGAGGAGCACAAATGAAGGAACTTTTTGCAAATTAGAAAAGTTGAGAGATTTATCTGGGCTCCTGGACAGAGCAAGGGCTAAGCAAGTGCTCTGAGTCCCCAGCTGACTCAGTCCCCTTTGTGGGGCTTTCTAGTCAGCAGCCCCTTTCCACTTTTAGCCTCAGAATCCTCCCCAGTTCACCTCTGCTCCTCACTCCCGCGCCCCCGGCCCCGGCAGGCTCTGTGTCAGCAAGTCAGCTCTGAAGTTCTGGGATCAAAGCAAAGGTCAACATGAAGGAGAAGGTCTCCACCACCACACCCTCCCAGGATCTCCAGAGACAGCAACAATAAACGGAACGCAGATTTCCCAGGTCAAGTCTTAGGCAGGGAGAGGACAGGAGTGATACACACTCTAGCCTTTCCTGAGAAACAGCAGCATGGGATGTGCACACATACACGTTACCCCCTGAACTGCAAAGTAAACACGAGTGGGCAGGTGATTTGAGCTTAGAAGGCAGTTTAGATGGACAGTGGAGAACTGCGTTCTTCACTCCAGCTGAGAAGGAGAAATCCCAGGAGAAGGGACTGCTAAGGGAGAGCAAGATTCCACTCCCTTCCAAAGATCCCTTCTGGTCCAAGGTCTTCTGACCTTCCCAGTCAGCTGCTTTTGCTTTCTGCTGCCACTGGAAGGGTAAGAAGGTGAGAGGAGTCAGGGGTGGTCATGAACTCCAGGGTTCTGCCCTGGGCAGTTCCTCAACTTCTTTGAGAGACTGTTGCCGCTCAGCCCTAGCAGGCTCGGCTCGGAAGGTCCAAGGGCCCAGTCTTCTTTCCAGTCCCTGGAAGACGGGGTCCAACTAAGGCAAAGTCAGCAAAGACAAAGTCAGTGATCAGGAAGGGTAGGATTGGGGGGTCACTGCCTAGAGGGTGGGGTCCTGTATTCTTCGGAAGATGGCTGGGAAATTCTTTCCTCCATTGCGTAGAACTTTCTTTCCCTCCTCGGTCGAGGTGCCCAGATGTCCCACAATGGGATCTTCACTCTGGGAGAAGGAAGGGTTCGATAAGTCCTTGCCCTGGTCCCCAGACACCCATCCCATCCTCCTGGCATTAAGCTAGATTCAAAGAATACAGAACCACTCTGGAAAGGACCTTTCCAGAAATCTTTGCAATTTCCCTTAGGCCCCCTACTTACCAGCTCCTCCAGAGGCACACGCTCAAACAGGGGGTGCCCTTCAAAATAGGTGCACATCCAGTCATGTAGCTCCAGCACATCAGTTATGGTATATACCAGCCCCTGCACAGGCAAAGTCACCCTAGATAGGGGGCTGCATGCAACTGAGCAGCAGGATCACTGGGCGGGGGGGGGG